TCTCTTTTTCTCAGCCATCACTGGTTTGTCATTGTATATACAATAGCTGTACGAGTAGCTGATGGACCCAACCTGGTGTAAGTAATGTAAATAGACAGTGGGAGGTGGATTATGTTTTTGAAGGCTCTACTACCTCAGTTTAACTGGACACTTCATTCTAGGCTTTGCTTTGCATATTTGTCCTAGCAGCCAATTAATGTTGCTGATTTTTAGTTTCTGTTTTCATCAATTAGGTTTAGTATATTGAAATTCATGGATTATTCACACAAGTAGGAGACACGTATTCACTTGGTCGCTAAACTCTATAAAATTTCTATAAATACGTCATTCTGTAATCATCTTTTCAATAGTACAGCATGCCTGCTATTGTTGTTTGCAGAATTACTTTAAGTACAAATCTCTTTTAACCATTTGATAAACTTGAAAACAGTAGGAGATATCCCTGCCCCACTTCTGTCAGTGACAGAACTCTCCTCCCTTCCTTCTCTGGGGCCAGGATTCACCTGGAGTAGTTTTTCAGTACTATTTAAAATGTCACCTAAAACTCTGTTCCAGGGAGATCTACGTGGCAAACCCACATCTCCCTTCCATGTAGGACTGAGTCTTCATCAGAAAGTGACCCCAACATTAATACAGGCAGTGTCATTGGAAACTTTTGTATATAAAATCTAATGCTGACTGCTGCAGGAAAAAACCTCGTGTTTAATACGTGATCCAAGGATTTGTTTTTCCCATTTTTCAAATGTCTTTTCCTTGCCACACAATTATATTACATCTATCTTTTGGAATGAGCACAAAACAGGGGCCCAGTTGTGTAAACACATTTCTAATGAAATATAGGATTGCACTCAGAACATGGATGTTTAACTCTTTGCTAGGGTGTGTGGTATAGGCAGAAGTTGGGATACCATGTTCTGCATAGACTGGCAGCAGTGGCCTGGCTGTGTCTCTGCTGCTGGGGCTGGCAGAGGAGGTTACTGCCTGTGCCTTGGGAGGTTCCGTGGATGAGTTCATCCACAGCACATGCCCAGAGAGCTGGGCAGCTGCACCCTCCCCCTGGCATCCCCCAGGACTGTGCTCAGTGACCCTTAAGGGAGAATACTGGTCCTCATTTGAGCCTTTATTGCACAAATTGTTGGGGTCACTTTGAAATGGGTTTGACTCTCCAGAAAGGCCCTTGCATGCTTGCAGTGAGTATTGCAGTGAGAGGAGAAGGAGGTGGCTGTTGAGTGGCACCTGCCCTGCTGCTCTCTGCCCAACACCAGCCAGTAATGGCATTAATGATGTGCTCGGAGCAGCCACGGATGCAGCTTCCTCGTCATCCTCCCACAGTGCCAGTCCCTCCTGGCATGGCAGCACCCTCTCCACCTCTCAGCAGTATTGTGGGCAGAACACAACCAAAACCCTTGTGTGATGGGAAGTTTTCCTGTGAGGTAACTTTTTGGGTACGTGAACAATGTGGTACGTATGTCTGTTTGTTAAATACAAAAAGGGATTTTTACAGGATATAGAATTGACTTTTTAAAATATATCACTATTCTTTTATGTGAATAGCAAACTAATGTTTGATTTGTTTTTTCCACTACTCGCAATCTCCATTATTAACATGTCTTAATTTTCTGGCTGAAACCTAATTATACTAGGCACACAAATTAGCAAATTTGATTTTGTTGCAATTGGCAAACACTGGGCTGCTAAGAACAAAAAACTGTTTAAAAGAACAGATTTTACACCTTGCATATGTTTTCCCTGTTAGTTCTTAGAGATGTTTTATGACAATTTTTTGCTTTCTCTAAATTATTTAGATGATGGTACTTGTAAAATGCTGGGTAAAATGTACATACTTGTTATCTCTTCTGTTTTTGTATATATTTCCCAAGATGTGCACTTGTATTATAATAACCATTCCCAATTTTAGGGGAAATTTGTGCAATAAATACAGTATCAGTTGTCAGTTTAGTTCTGGTACCTTATGTGTCCCTTTTTTGACATGTGCTATGAGTCCGTGGGTGAGTCAACCATCTCACATGTGACACCTGTCTCCTCTCAGCTCCCCTTTTTGGGACATTGTTTCTGGCACTTGGTAGTGCTACAGCTATTTGAATTTTGGATCTCATAAGGAATTAATTGTTTCAAACAGGAATTTGTAATTGAACTTGCTGTCCCTTCAGCTGTTAATGTTGTTGGCCCCAGAAGGCAGCAGTGAGATAGGAGGGAGGTCCTGATCCTCTGCACTGATGCTTGACTTTGTGTGAGGTGAACAAACATAAACAGAAAGCCATTGTCTTCCACTGGTTCATGTATTCATTCCTGAAGTGACCTGCAAGGAAGTTTGCCACACAGGTGTTTGCCATTGTGTTTATCACTGTATTTGTGCCCATCTGCCTGAGTACAATCCCTTCTCTGTCTCTCTGGGCCACTGCACAGGAATGAAAGTTATTGAGGAATCTTCGTAAAGTTTTATTGAATCTAAGCTAATTGTGATAGCAGTGCTGCCAGGAAAAGTGAAGTAATAATCACATGACAGGAAAAACAATTAGGAAGATGTAGCAGAGTGTACAAATGAGGCTTTAAAGCATCTGGGTTAAATAAGGTCCCGTGTTTGCAAAGAATGGAAAAAGGACAAGCAGAAGACAGAAACCTTGCCTGAAGCAACTGCATCTTCTATTTTGAAAACCTTCTGTTTTCTTCTTCTTTTTTGTAAATGGTATGTGGTTTCCTGCCCTGGTAGGTACCTGCCCAGGTGCCCTTGCACATGTGAGGTACAGGATGAGCTGAGGGACGAGCTGAGGTTCGTGTCCCCAAGCCCTGTCTTGCAGTGACCAGCTGCAGGCAGGGAACACTGTGGGTCCCACATTCAGCACAGCCAGACAGCACAGGGGCCTTCTAGGATTTCCACTTGCACCTGCCAAGTCCTGTAAAAGGATGCCCGTGATGGGAGTGTCTGAAAGAATGGAATTTGTCCTCTCTCAGAAGACTGAAGGCCACAACAACTGACTCTTGGGTGCTTAAACTGGTCCTGTAATACCACCATGAGGTTTCCCTGTGCGCAGGATGAAGTGCCCTGGCTCTGCCTTCTCTGTTGGCATCCCAAATAACACTGCTTCAATGGCTCAGTGCTCCATGTGGGTGAGTCAACAAAAGCAATTAACACAGGATCCCTTGCCCTTTACACTGATAACACAGAGGGTTATTGCTGGCCTGGTGCACTGTTCCACGCTGGATTCACAAGGCAGATCCTGCAGCCCCACAGCAGCACTGAAGGAGTTGAGCAGGCAGCTCCAGCAGAGTCTGCAGCAGGAGATGCTCGGCTTTAGCTGGGAGTTCTGCCATGGAGCACTGAGATGTGCACTGTCAGACCTCCTGCAGGGCTTCTTGGGCTGAGTGCACCTGACAGAGGGCAGAGAATTTTGTGTTACCAGAGTAGATGGTCATGAGGTGTCCTCCTGACGGGGATGGCAAGAGTAGCTTGGAGTCATGTGTCTGTGTGGGTGTTTGGCAGCGATGATGTGAGCAGTAAATTCAGCAGTGTAATCACTGCAGCATCCAGAAAATGCTGATGTTAATGCCCAGAATTGATTTCATTTTTAACTTTCCAGCTAACTGGGACATAGCACTTGCTAGCCAATATTTTTAATGTATTGTTACTCCTTTTCTGTAATTCTCTTACTTTCCTGAAGCAAAAGCTAATTCACTTAGCTGAGGCAAAGATGGAAGGAAGCCACGGGCACCCGAGTACCATGGCGTCTCTCATCTCCCACATTATTCCCAGGGGTCTGCAGAAGAGGATATGATTATTTTCTGTGTGGCTTAAAGTAACCACAGGGCAATTTCTGGATCCAGGGGTGGGAAGCAGCTTGATGTGTTTGTTGCACAGAAGCACAGAGCTCTTAACAGCTCTTGTTGCTTTCTTCTCTCTTAAACGTTTATTGTTAAAAAGTAGTGGCCTGGTAGTTGGAGGTAAAAGTAAGCAGAGAGCATGGAGACACATGTGACTTCTGAGTCTCTGTGCTGCAAGGAACATCTCTGTTTATGTGCTGCAGCTTGCACATTCTGTTCCAGCCATCCCCTCATTTATTTTGTGGTACAGGAGCAGTTACAGGCTTTGCACAGCACCCCTGCAGCCTTCTTGTCTTCCCCCTGTACAAGATCATCTTTGCTGTTGCTACAGGCAAATTTAAATACACCAGTGCTTCAGGTTTTAGAAAGTGTTGCTGATGCTGGCTGCAGATGCTTCTTTACTGGAAGCAGCACTTTTCTGTTTTGACTGCCAAAAAAACACAAGTTCAAATCCTATGCGGTCTGTCCAGGCTTTTGGAGCAGAACCTGATTCCCCAGCAGCTTTGCTTTGCTTTGCTTTGCTTTGAGAGGTCTCTGGCAAAGGGGCTGGAAGGTAAATCATCTGTGCCCAATGTGCCTGGTAGCTCTCCCAAAAAGGGATGGTTAATTTTCCTGTTGCTGTGGTCAGTGGGAAGGAACTGACAGTACAGACAGGCAGCTCAGCAGCGAGGAACAGGAGTGAGAGCTGGCACGGAGAGTGCCAGCATGGAGCATCCCACGGGGCTGTGGGTCCCCACAGGAACCTGGTGGAAGAGCTGGAGTGAGGGTTTATGTGTAGGAGAGGTGCTGTGATTCTCCTTCCACCGAGGGACTGCTGCTGGGCAGCGTTTTCTGCCTCAGCACCTGCTGGCCTGCAAGGCTGGGCAGTTGTGTGGCCTCTGGAAATGAACAGCTTCTTGTGAGCTGTCACCTACATGTCACCCGCTTGGGTCTTCCCAGGCTCTCTGGCAGCTCGTCTCCTCCTAGAAGCATAGCAGGAAGCACGTTACTCCCATGTATTTATTTTCATTACCAAAAATATTTGTACAGCGGCAGAATTTGATTTCTAAACCTCTGTGTGTTCCAGCTGTTTGTTCCCAGCTAGAGCTTAAGACTTCTGCTCCGAGGGTGGGGATCAGTGCCTGAGCTCCAGGGAACCAGCTGCAGCAGGGCCCAGAGAACTCCTAACGCCTGTGGCCGGTGGTGACGGCACAAGAAGGAGCAGGAGTAAAGGCAGGTGAAGCAGGCAGCTGGTCGGGCGGTTTGGGATGTCGGTGATAAGGAGAGGCTGCCCAAAGCACTGGGGAGCGCATGGCGGTGAGGCACAGCCGCGTCCGGCTGCCCTCACGGCGGCCCGGGCCCGCCTTCCCTCAGCGCGCCGCAGCCCAGGCCAGCCCGGGCGCCGCCCCGGCCCCGCGCTGCTGCTCCAAGCCGCGCTGGGTCGAGCCGTGCCCGGCTGGCCGCAGCTGCGGGCAGGGCAGTCCGTGCCCGGATCCCCTCGGCACCCAGGCAGTGCCGCGGTGCGCTGCGGGTGGAACAACCGGCCCGGGGGTTGGCGGGGCGAGCCCGGCCGCGGGGCTGCTTCCTGCCGGGCGCGCTGGGCGGAGGGCTCGCTTTGTTCCACGGCCGGCTTTGCCCAGAGCTCCCTCTCGGAGCCCCGCGGTACAGCCAGGCGGCTGTCCGGGTGCTCAGTGCCGCCGGGCCGCGCGGAGGAGCCGTGCCGGCCCGGCCAGCGGCCCTCATTGCAACATCCCAGAGGAAGTGTTTGGGCCGCAGGCGCGTCCCCGATTTCCGAAGCAGCACGGGCGATAAGCGGATGCCTTTTTCTTGTGACAGAGCTGCTCTGCCTGTGCCCCCGCTTTGGCCAGGCCCCCGGCCGCGGGAGGAGCGCCCAGTCCGAGTGCTGCTGCGGACTTGTGCCGTGGTTCAGCTCTCACTGCACCTTCGTGCTTTCAGTTTGGTGTTTGCCTTAAGGACCTGCAACCCAGCCCCTTGGTAACAGTTTTTCTCTAGATAAAGCTTCCCAGAAATGAAATTATAGGCCAAGAAAAATCTTAAGGAAGAACGAGGGGTGGCAGTATGGAAGTGTCCTGCTCTGGCGCATCTTTTTCACTTTAAAAAAACAGAACTTGTTTGAACTGGAGGGAGCCCCTTCTCTGGCACAAGTCACAGGGCAGCACGGGAGCCCTGTGGTGCCGCAGTGCCAGAGATCAGGGCCATCCCCGGGCCGCTGCCTTTTAGCCCATAAAGACATTGTTTAATTGCTGGTGGTTTTGGTTTGGAGCTTTCTTTCATCTGTTCTGTGCTTTCTAAAATTCTGATAGAGTGAAACTCTCCGACCACCGTGCTTTTGCCTGCTCCCGTTGTTCAGTTTCTAGCACTAACCAGAGTGTCTAATCTAGAACTTGTTTTTCCTTCTTTGTTAACTCCTTAAGATAAGCTTTGATTCCAGTGGTTGGACAGGCCCTGCTGTTTTCTTATGGAAAAGCACTCAGGAGGAATGGGGGGTTGTGCAGATCATGTGTGGGTGGCTCTGCTGTGCTGGAGCAATCGCAACCAATGCTGCTCTCCTCGTTATTTCCTGCACGAGCAGGATGGGCTGAAGTTGCAGCTCTGGGACACGTGAATGTGTCACTGGTGGCAGTGCTGGAGCCAGGTGGGAAAGCTGAAGACGGAGTTTGTCCTAGGTTCTTAATGGAAAACATTTTCCTTAAAGTGGCATTGAAAATTAAGACAGTGTTTCTTACGGAAGTGCATGTAGCTGGGCTGAGGAAGAAGTGTGAGAACATTTCCTTGAGAGATGAGCATCTTACTCCCCAAAGGCTCATTAATTTAGTTTTCTTGGCTAATCAGATTAATTTCTAGAATATTTTCACTAATGTCACCGAAAGAAAAGTGGTTTATGAACAGCCTGGAGCCAGCAGAGTGCAGTGGTGAAGGCACCTGGAAGCAAAGCCCAAGTCTGTGCAGGGGGACCCCATCAAGTCCCTTGGGGGCATCCAGTGCTGACACAGGGCCACTGGTGGTATGTCTCCTGAGCAAACACCCTCCTTTGGGGCCTTTGGAGTTACAATGGCAAGAAGTCCCTATGCTACAAAGGTGTCTATAAACAGTGACTTTAGGGCAGAGGGCAACAGTGGGATTATGTGCTTGATTTTCCTAACAGGGATGCTTTTCACTTTGGAGAACTTCAGTGTGTTGGAAAGACTGTGTTCAGCATTTCTTCTATAGTTATTTCTATAATTACTTCAAAATTACAGCCATGAACAATTACAGTTTTGAATAGCTTATTGAGTGCACTGAATCCTAAGAAATTAACTACCATATTTTCAAGGAGTAGATATATTAATAGCAGCTGTAACTATAAATCTTTTCTAATTTTGATCACTACCAAAAGACTGAAAAAATAAGGGCTTCTGTTTTCTTGTATTAACAATAAGACTCATAAAATTGTGGGAGATATTCTGGGCAAACAAAAAAATTACAGCTGTGTTCCTTGTGCTGCAATAATTAATGATCATGCACTTTATTCTCCAAAGCTGTTTTTCTTGTACAGTTTAACTAAAGGTCTTGATCTCTGTCATTTCACATGACATTGTTCTGAGGCTGGTTAGGCTGTAAAAGCCATCAGCTTGAAGGAGAATTTATTTTTCAAAATACAGCTTAACTCTCCAAACTATTTCTTTAATTATAGGTTAGTGAAAAGCAGGCCCTTCCCATGAAACAGAGTTTTTAAAGAACCGTAGACTTGATCTGATTTAGTATTAAAATCAAGGGCTCTGTCTTGGGCTGGTAAGAATCATTGCTTCTGGCAACTGCAGCTCTTCACAGCTGTGAATTCAGACACACATTTTTCAGAGGAAAATAATCCTTAACCTAAATACAACTTTTCAGATATTTTAAGGTTGACCTTCGCCTCCTTGTCTGGTTTTTTTCCCAGGTTGGCTGGCTGGGAAGATGCTGACCCTGTTGGATCGCAAGCTTCTACAGCAGCTCCTCCTTCCGGTGCAGGAATCACAGGCTCTGCTGGAGGCCATGCAGGGTTTGTCCAGTGCAAGTCATTAGTCTCAGAAATATGGGGTGAATTCCCACTTCTTTAGGATGCGAACAACAGAGGCAGGTTTGGAGGAAATGTCTTCCATCAGAAGTGTCTGTCCTTCGCCTTCATCACTTACAGTCAAAGCATGAAAGCTCATTAGGCATGATTTGGCTATTTCCTGTTTAGGCTGTCAACTAAAGAGGCAGCAGAGCAGCATTGCTGGAGCATGTGGTGGTCTCATTATCTCAGTGAGGGAAACACTCTGCAACAGAACCCTCACCCCCTCCTTGCTCATGGTGTTTAAACTAAGTGGTTTTAAATGAAAAGAGGGTCAGTTTAGGTTAGATATAAGAAAGACGTTTTCTGCAGTGAGGGTGGCACAAGATGCCCAGAAGAGCTGTGCTTGCCCCGTTCCTGGAGGTGTTCAAGGTGAGGTTGCATGGGGCTTTGAGCAACCTGGTCTAGTGAAAGGTGTCCCTGCCCATGGCAGGGGTCTCGAAGAAGATGACCTCTAAAGGTTCCTTCTAACCCAAACCATTCTGTTACATTGGTATTGTGTAAGTTACTGACAGCTTCATCTGCTGGACCACCATTACTGCACCTCCAGGTTTGGTGTGTCCCTGACACCTGTCTCCATTCACAGTCTTGCCAGACCCCAGGACGTGGCTTTACTCTTGATTCTCACCCTGGGCCCAAGGTGCTGCAGAGCTCTGCTCTCAGTTTCTTACTGCAATACTCTTCTTGCCAATGTTGATTGCAGATTCTTTACCATGTGTGTGCACACTTTAGACCACAACTGGAAAAAGCTGTGGGGTGGTTCCTGTTCAGGGTCTCCTTAACTGCAAACCCACAAACTGCTTCAATTTCTCTTGGTACCTTCTTCAAAAGCACAGCACTTTTGTAATACCCTCCTAGTGTGAGACCCAGTGATGGTTCACAAAGTAGCAAATACTACAGTAATAATTTATAGAAAACACTTTTACTGCAAAGGCAATTTTGCAAATTTTGGTAGCGATGAAATCCAACCGTTCCGATGCCATGGGAAATGTCTGCCACTGGCAAAGGCTCTGGAAAAAAAAGTAAGTCACTTTTTTCTCAAAAAGGTATTGAGATGTCTGTTGGTACAACCCATGGCTTTTAATGTGCTGGTAAGGCATTGAGAGTATCCCTGATGCACAGAGGGGAGGTAAGGGCACTTAGAGGGCAGCTCCACTCAGCTTTCTAGAAAAGTCAAAGGTTCCACTTGAGGAGTCACTTCATATGCAGCAATTGTATTACCTTGACAAGATTGTTTTTGGTGTCAGGGTTTTTCTGGAAGTCAGTGTGCTTCCTATAGGCCAAGCAGGCCACTGCAGGAATTTCATTGTGTTTCCCTTTTTAATGGAAATTGAAAATACATTTCCAGACACAGCTCTGGAAATACCTCAACAGCAGCCTCTATCACCTCTTCATTGTTTAGGACTGAGCAGTGCCTGTGTCTCAGCTTTCACCTACATGGGGTGAAATGCCTAAAAATGTTAAGAAATTGCACCTGCCTTAATGTCATCACTGCTATCCTACCTAATAAATATTTTCCTAAAAAAGACTAATTCCTCTCTCTCTGAGGAAGAAGACTATTTCCATGGAGGTAAGCAGTGATAGGTAAGTGGAATTTGTGTACTTGGTGACATCTGTTTTATTGGGCGGAGCACTCGATAACTTGCATCACCCTCTGATTCATACAATCATCTGACCTTCATCTAACTGCTGCTCTGCTTTTATTTCCTTTTCTCCTTACAAGTTACAGTAAAGGAAATTCTTCCTGTGCTCCATACACAATGCTTCCTTTCATTCAAGGTTTGGTTGTGCTTTTAGCATTTAAAAAAACAACCAGTATAACCATCTACTGAAATAGCACAGGATCAAGTCACACGTTCCTCTCCCTTCACATTTAGCCTCCCCACAGATTACATGCACTCCAGGAGTTGCTGTACTTTGGGCACAGCCTTCCCTCCTGGCTGAAATCCCAGCAGGGAAATGCTGCAGTCCCTCAGGGTGGGATTATAGGGTTTACTGTGAGGGTTCCTCCCTGTTTGGTGTATGGACAAGTAAGCAGGTCTTCCAGGAGGAGTCTAATTCTGCTGGCTCTGTCTGATGCTGTACCTTCAGCTCCTGCTCTGCCCTGGTGTGGCTGTTCCTCTGGGTACACATTTGTGTCCCTCCCTTGCAGCTGAGGAAGGACAGCCATCTCTCTGGAGCAACTTTCTGAAGCATGAAGGTAAAAGAAAGTCTGAGCAGGAGCATCTCAGCTATCTGATACAGGAGAGCTTCTGGGTGGTTGGAAGGGCCATCACAGGCTTGGGACACTGTTAGGAATCAATATCCCTTGACACAGAATTATTGTATGTTACCAAGGGCAGGGTCTCTAGAAGGAAGGGAGGAAAACCACATTGAGTGGAAGAAGAGTCATCTGCAGATCTTTCTAAAGTTAAAAATAGTTAGGATTTTGTCTGCAGGAGACAGTTTGTCCTGTTATGCTGCTGTCATCATGTGAGCAGGCTGTATGCTTCTGCATTTGAAGACTAAAACTGAATGCTGAAAACAGGAACTTTCTGGAAATTCCGCATGCCTGAGATGTAATGGTTTCAGTGAGTTTCCTGATATCATCTCATCCATGTGGTTGTGCTTGGGATGGGGGAACTAAACATGTCATTAGCTCTGTAGGGTCACTAAAATTTGAAGAGATCATAAGTAATTATAAGGATGCATGATATCCTGCAAAGACAGATGATAAAAGCAACTACACTTGACAGTGAGCCCTTCAAGGCGAGGCAACCCAGTTAAGAGCATGGAGGAACTGAGCTCTTGCTAACTCATGTCAGCAGGAGTTGTTTATCCCCTCTTCATCAAAAAATGAGACTGATAGCATTGAAAGTGACTAAAACCAGAGGATGATACAGGGAATTTTGGCCTTCATAACTTTGCAATGACTTCACCGAGCATTCCTGGCTCTCAGACCTGGACTGATTCTACTAAACTGTGCAACATTTATTCGTAATCAAATTATAGTTTATACACAGGCACAAAACCACAAACACAGAGACATGTATCTTCCTACAAACACATCAAATGTCTGCAAACAATGGAAAGCTGATCTGATGCTGGCTGAATCGTCACTGTAGTCTAAGCTACAATAGCAAAACTCGTGGTTGCAAAGAATCCTAACATTAGCAGCAAGAGAATGGTAAGAAATGCAGGTCTTTCCCAGCCTTGGTCTCGATTCAAATGCTGTAATATTTCTCGTAGGATTTCACAAATAAGTAGAGTGTATTTGATTGCATAAAACAGTGAAATTGCCTGTCAGGCATTTATTCAGAGTTTCTTAATCTAGATGATTTCCAGTTAAGAGAAAGTCTAGACCGTTGGCCTGTTCTTTGGCAGAAGAGAAGTTTTTTATTATTTTTTCACATGCTCGGAATTACTCAATTTACTAAAAAAGGGGAAGGACTGAGATCCTATTTACTCTAATTTTTATCATATTTAAACTGGCTGCTCTCTCTAGGCATACCCTGTGCTTTTACCAGCTCAACATTGTTGGTCAAAGTGTTGTCCAGTAACAAATGCCACAGATACACAGAATGGTCACATTGAGTTATGCAAGTGTTTGGCATTTTGCCTCTGAAAATAGCTACTCAGTAGAAAAATACAAATCCCGTTGCATGTTCTCTCTGGGTTATAACAGGTCACAGACAAAATCCTCACTGTTTGTGAAATCTTCTTGAAGTTTATAATTGTACAACTTTTTACATCTGTGAAAAATTAATGGAAATAATATAACTGATACCAAATTACTGTTGGAGAGTTTCCCATGTCAAGATTGATTGCTCTTTTTGTTACTTAGGTCTTCATCTTAATCTGTGCCCAACCCATTCTTTTACCCACCTTCCACTTTCTAATGGTTTTTGGCATGATGTTTCTGACGAGAAATGAAGAAAATTTTTCAGTTGAAGCTGTAACCTGATTTTAGCAACAAAGAACATGCAAATGAAGCAGTCACCAGACTCCAGATTGCCTGCTGTCAGGGCAGGTTTTCCCCCACCACCCCCATCTTTATTTTTTTCAGGCTTGAGTATGGATATCTGTATACTGTTTCTGGATACCTCCAATATCTAGACAGGTCCATATGTTCTTTTGGGTTTTGTCAACAAAGTGCTGGGACTAGAATCACATATCTGTAGGTTGTGTGTAGCAAAAATAAAGTGGCAGAAGACACACAAAAAAATTGATACAAGAGCCTGTTTCAGACAGAGTTGTTCCATTGTGGAGTGTGTAGCAAGCCACCAACTCGTGGCTTAGAGCAAAGTAGCTGGGGTCTAAATGTTATTTTGTAACTATTTTGAGTGGGTTTATTTTTCAGTTCTTATTCTGTCAGACACTATTAAAAATGTCCTACACTTACACCATGCCTGTGGCAGTTTGGATGCTCCAGTGATTTGGCAGGAGTCCTTTTTTTCCTCATACCATTCACTCACATTCACCAGGGCTTGAGAACTCCCATCAGAGTTGTGGCAGGCCCTGGATGGACCCTTTAAAGTCACTCAGCAGTGGAAAGGGAGAGGAATGTCCTCCTTCACACCTGTTGTTTCCCATATGGACAAGGAAGGAAATGAGAAAGATGAGAACATACATGTCAGCGTCACAGCTAGCCAGTGTTCTTTCAACACAAACAGCTTTCACTGTCCTCACTGGCAACCTTCAGAGAGTGCATCAATGCCTGTCTTTGTGTTCACAGAAACCTTCGTAAATGAATAGCAAATACCCCAATTCACTTTTCCTTTTCAGATTGTTCCTGACTTGAGAACCAGGACTCCATAAACACTGGCCAAGGATTATGTGACACAAAGATCAGGGTGACATGTTCCCAACACACTGTGCATGTCAAGTACAAAATATCTGTTACTTCAGAATTTCCACCTGTCCTCCATGAAGCCTTCCCTGTGAACACCCCAAAAATTGCCCTCAGCTGAGAGATGTGTCCTTCAACTGGGATTAAAACTTAGGAAATGATTACTGCCTCCAGCTGAGCTCTGGCTCAGGCTGCTCTTGGGAGCAGCTGGGGCTTGTCATTC